ATTCATTATTATTTAATGTGAGGCTCAATGAAACAGATTCCATGTGATCAAAACTGTTCGTACTTATAATTTTTGCCTTATGCCTTTTGTGGACATAAATCATAACACCACCTCCATTCATGTCTTTACGAGAGCAGGAAAATCGATTATAATCCTTTATTTTGTAAATGTCAAATTTTGTGAAGTCTTTAGTCCATGTTTCTGTTAGTATAATTAAGTCCAGTTTTTTGCTCACGAATTCTGCTATTTCTGATTTAAATTTCTGAAAAGAATTCAATGATTTAATTGACCTTACATTCCAAGTGATAAATTTTAATTTATTTATGTTGTGTTCATGTGTTATGAAATTTAACAGAACATCACTATTGTAATTAATATTTGATTCCAGTTGCAGAAGTCGTGAGCTTGTATCCTAGCTATTATTATCGGCCATAGAACTGAAAGAATCTTGACTTTCATCACCATTGCTGTTATTGTTACGCCTTGATGCTGAATGAATTGAACGTCTCTGTTTCTTAGATTCATTTGGTGATTCCATGGATATTTCTGCTGCTTCTTCAGCTTTTCGCTTGTCTTGTTGGTGAGCGTTATTCTTTCTATTGTTTCCATATTTGTTATCCCAATAATCTTTGTTGTAATATACTCTTGTAGCCATATGGGAACTTTTTGCTGAGACATCCTTTCTTAGTTTATCCAAGTCAGAGTAATTTCTTACATGAATTTTTTTTGGCTTCTCGTTTATGTCATCTGGATTATTTTTGTTTAGAGTGATTTTGATAGAATCATCACCAAGAAATACTTTGCTAATGGATTTGTCTGACTGTAATTCATGGCATACACGTTTGATTCTGCTAATGTCGTATGAAGTTGGCTGTGTAAAAATTACTTCTGGATTATTATGATTTGATGCACTTTTATTCTTCTTGATCATTTCCATTATTAATCTTTCAGACGTAAAGGAATCGCTAAAATGGATGTAAAGGTATTTGGTAAATTTGTTGACTCTATTAATCTTCTTCATTCCAGACAGTATTATAGCCTTCGTAATGTATGCTTTACGTAGTGCAAGTCCTTGATCCTTAATTATTCTTTCTGCAATCATAGCAGCATCAGTATCATTAGCCGACTTGAGTAAGTTTTCATTATTTAAGTAAACTATCATTTGTGATTTATAATATCTCATGTCTGATTTCAGTTTCATTTCCTGTTTGTCGTTCTCGTTGGATTCTACATACTGCTGATGTCTCTTGGATAAGTCAACAATGTCATCATTAAGCTGATCATTGGTCGATTGACCTAGTAGAGCATTGTCATCTACAACTTCAGCTATGTTCGAACAATTTGTAAAATTCGAGTCAATTGCCTTAGCAAGCGAGCTGTAGGCATTTAATATTAGTGACATTTTAGTGTCTACACTTCCGTTTCCGCTTAGTGCTTTCAAAGATGCCTCTAATTCTTTTGGAGAGACAAATTCAGGTTTTGTTAAAGAACCTTTTGCTTGACGAATGTCACATTCTTCTACATCAAATATCTTGGCGTCTGTTGGGTGCTCACTGCTTGAAGGAATGATTTGTGAATTCATGTATTTGGATATCTTGTGATTGTTGTCGACATTTGGTGGATTCTTTGCGTTTTTCCCTTTTCTTCCAGACATATTATTAAAAATTTTGACTCTCAATCAAAGTGACTTTGACCTGCCAGGTAAATAAAGCGTATATTAAAGAATATGCGTTTTAAATTCACCCCAGTTGTCAGAGTTTTTGAATGACAAAGCACAAAATTATTATGAATGGAACTTTACGGTAAAAGCAATAGATAGCACTTTAGAGTCCTGTTGAAGCTGTTTACTAAGGCTGGTTGAAAAGTTACACGTTATTAAATTTACAGAAAGAGTTTGAGAAGTTTGAATTGTCCAAAATTTGAACCAAAATTTTTTCTTTTTCTTTGAACAATGGAACACACAATAGCCTTTTGTTCTCAACAATCAATCAACTTTATTTCACTTTTCATGTCTATGTATAGCTTAATTCATAATTCTATTTATCGTTTGCCATTTATTAGTCCATTCTGGACACAATACGTCACAACTTATTGCTATACACTTATTGAAAACCGTCTAAAATTAAATAAATTACGTAGCACACGCGACACGAGACTTTATAGAATAGGCGCTGTAAGAATGAATTTTACTTTCATTACGATAAAAAGGCCTAATGACAAAATAAAATCAACGAACAGCCACATTCAATTCTTTTTTTGAAAAATATCCAACAGACACTGTCCAACTGCATGATGCATAGTCTTTCAATATTCTAGATATTTAATTAAATTATCCTCTCTTTGGACTTTGCTAGATGCGGCAGTTAATTAAAATTAAATCATGCATGATAATTGAATTATGTGTTAATTGAGCACTCACAATGCGGTAATTATGTTTTGTGTGGATATCTGAGTAGAATTAGTTTGTAGATTAATTGTGGTTGGGGCTTTCGAAAGAGCTAATTAAGAGCAACTTTTTTTTCTCTACTAATGTGGCTTTACGGAAATGAGATATTAGCAAAAACTTTTTGTTTAAACATTTTTGTGGATTTTTATAATTTAATATTCAAACTATTATTTTCAGAATAAATTCCATCAAACAATGTGCCCTTAAAATCTCGGACAATATTCAAACCAAATTAATGGCTTTATCATTAACAGATTTTCTTTTCATTTATCTATTTTTTAAGGCATTTAAAAAGAAACTCTTCTATCTCCCCTTTTTCAACAACATTATTTTCTTGAAACTTAATTAAATCTAGATTATATGCTCAATTTACTTCAAACGACAGAAAAAAGAAAACAACCATAAAAGAGAAATATTCTCGATTTAATTGTTTTATGATTTTGCCTCAGATTATTTTGATACTACATAGATCGACAATGTCAAATGTTTGGGCAAATTCTTAATAGTGGTGATATCATTGTCTTTTACAAATGGTTTGTGTTTTGTGATTGTGGTTAAGCATGGGGATTTCGACAGTGAGTTTGAATGCTGGAATTTAGGTTTTTTTTGACTAGAGCGCAGAATGACTGTGCAGCTCAAATTACGTACAAAAAAGCAAAAACTAACACTTTTAACTTTCCAGAATCTCCAGCCAGTCTCTAAATGAACATTTTTTTCCCATTCATCTACAAAACAAACTTCAGGAAATTTTTTTTCGTTCATTGTACTTTTTATTGAAATTGGAAAAGTTTTTCCGTTTTTTAAATGCGAACATAAAGCTTAATTGTCTCATTCAAACTTTTTCTATAGTTGTCTACTTTTTTTTTGTGTGGACGATAAGACCAGTAAAATAAAATAAAACTGAGATATCATGTTACATTAAATGTGTGTAGTTTCTCTATTGTTACATGCTGTGGAGAGTGAGTAATAATAATAACTTATCAAATTGCAACAAAAGAGGGTGGACAGGATGTATGATAATGTATGAATGTGAACGACCAGAGAATGAATGAATAGAAGATAATAGTTGAGATGTTTGAAGAACGGATATATTGGAGCATTATGGCTCATTTGAAAGGGATTAAGTCGTATCAATTTCAATAACTAGGTTTGAACCTTCGTCGAATAAAAACACTTTGTGTGGTTGAATTTGATAATTCACAGTCCGAAAACCGGAGTTAAGCAAAATCCACACCCAATGCTTAAAAAATCCAAGACAACAAATTTAACAACACCTTAGACACCAAAAATTTCACGCTTTCTTACTCTTTTATATTTCAAGCCACTCGTGCTAACAGCCAGACAGAAAGGAAGTATAAGTATATAGCTTTAGGCGCTCTCTTGGGATGAGCAAGATGATTGCACTTAACGACTTATTGATGAACACAAATAATAAATATAAAATGCTTAAAGGGTGTGAGTGTGAAAATGTGTAAATAATTGAACGATGAAGATGATTTATGAGCTTATTGATTTGTTGATTATGGCTTGTGCCTTAAAGTATGTTTGCCTAAGCAATTATGTAGTAAATTTTCTCTTGAATTCTACAGGACTGAAACAGTGCAAAGATTTTTAATTTACGATAAAATTTTAAAATTTCCTATGTCAAACTTAAATTTATGGATATAGTTTCCAGCTTCCATTTCAGCATTCAAATAGCATTCAGATATCCCAAAAACTAATCAATAAATAACTTTCATGGTTGAATTGTCTCAGCAAATAGTAAAAGTGGTAAGAAACAGCCATTAATTCCATAAAGTGGATGGAAAATGGACGAAAAGAATTATCAAGCACCGTTCTCCAAGTAGAGAGTGTGAAAACCATTTGTAATTTATTGTCCTCACATATAATCCGCTTTTAGTTTCCTATTTTTTATTCTATAAAAAAACATCTGTGTGCAATTCACGGACCATGATGCATAAGGAAGTGTGGAGAAATAGCAGATTCTATTTTCATTTGTTTGTTTCACACTATTCTGTGTCTATTGAAAATTTAAAGTCCATGAAAATGGGTGTTTATAGAACTAGATACATTGCTGGATGTACGTACTAGCTATGTTGATGATTTTCCACTGATTTGTGATTAGTGCTTGACATTTAGAAACTTATCAAAGCTAGGTAAAGCTATCATAGGCAGCTTTATGAATTACTGATTCTGTGTTCCCGCTACATAAAGCTTTTTTCTCGCTTGTGCTATGTACGGACAAAATACAGACAAAAACTCATCGGATTTAAATTTCTGCACTGCAAATTGACAGTGCCAAAATTCCCTGAAAAAAATTTAACATTTAACTTTTTTATTTTCTCTATTCTCAAGAGAGCATTCTTTTCTAAAACATGTGAAGTTGATAAATGAATTTCTAGATTATTGCTGCTGTAGAAGGAAATGTCATTTGTTGTAAATTATTGCAGTCTCACTAATGTATAGAATCCTTAAAACTTTAAATTGCTGAACTTAAAACTTTAATCTTCAGATTTAAAAATAAATCGCGGGATTTAAAACACAACTAAATTTTGATCCAGAAGATTAACTTAATCCAAAGATTTATTCATACCGTAAAAATGAGTACGATAAAATTTACTTAATTCTTAATGAGGAATCGAAGAGCTTCAACGACATCACCCTTGTTCTCGCGTAATGCTTTCTCGGCAACTGAATGTGCAACTTCTAATTCGAACATAATTTTGTCAATGTCACTTTTCTTAATATGAATTTTCTGTAATTCAACTTCTTTGGCGAGTTTTGCTTGGGCTTCACGATTACCTTTCTCTACAAACATTTGGGCAGCCTAAAAATAAAGAACATAATGCATTAGTAACATTAGATAAAATGCCGCTGGATCTTGTGTTTACATTTGCTATTGTATTGCTTAATTCCGTTTCTTCTTGAAAATCTGTGACTTTCTCTAAATCTGCAGCTCCACTGTCATGTTTTCTTTGTTTCTTGTCTTGTACTTCCTGCACATCATCCGTCCCATTCACTGTTTCCTCTATATTTGCCATACTTTAATTAATTTTATAAATTTTCTATTCTTTTTTTCGCACGTTTATCTGCGCTTTTTTGAATTTTAAATAACCGTTACACTATGGGGCAAAATGAAAAAAAAAGGGACTTTCACTTTGAAAAATGGACTTTTCCGATTTACACTTTTTGGGTGATTTTTTCTTGTAGAGGACATAAAAGTAGATAGAAATGCCAAATTTCAGGTCATTTGGTGCTGATTTCGCGATTCTAGAGCTGTTTGAAGTTGAAAACTAGTGAAAATTCTGGTTTTTTCATACCATGTTTGAACCGGGAAATATCTTAACTGGTTTAAGATATTGCAAAACGGTTTTCAGTTCCTATTAGTAGTATATAAGAGCTTTATTTTGACATATAACAAAGTTTAGGTTCTGAATGTTTTCGTGCCATTATGGTAGAACATATGTGAAAATTTCAGGAAAATTATCTTCAAACAAGCCGCAACTATCATAAATGAAGAGTTTCCAGGCAAGTAAAAACGCAGTTTTGTAGCCCCATATATCTAGTTTTCAAAACTGTATAAACTTTGAAAAAGTAAGCTAACGTAATTGAGTTATGTTGATTTTAGTAGGTCGTTGAGTATTTGGCCAAAAACTAATAATTCTTTTAAAAATACGAAAACATAGTTTTAAAAATAGTTTTTTGGTGTTTTCTTATGAAAAATAACAATTTAAATGATTTTGTGAAGAAAATTTTTCAAAAACTTCAAAATCTTTCGAGATATAGGGGGTATGTGCTCTCCATCGATTTGGCCATTTGTCACCCTACTTAAACCACTATAACTTTTTTTTGAAAAAATATTTTTTAATTCTGTTTTCGGATTATTGTAGCCTAATGTAATACCTATCCAACAATATATAATACTTGCTAGTTAACTTAGTCCTGGTTATTTATAGGGCTGTTGATTGTGACATACGCAGTTTTTGAAATATTCCCAAAAATTGCATTTTCAAAAATACCACTTTTAAGCAATCTCGAGTATTTTTTGGACTTTTTTAAGAAATGTTAAGTCTGAAAAAAGCTATTATCATTAGAGTAATAAAAAAAATACTCTGATACGCAACTATAATAGGTAAAATTAATAAAGTTTAATTTTTAGTTTAATGAAATTTTGTTTATTTGTCAAGAAATTTAATTTACATTTTTTTATCATATTTAATGAAATTTATTTATTCATTCGTTGTTTGCTTCTTCAGAATATTCATGGTCTTGTCCTTCGGAATAATCATAGTTTTCTGCTTGGGAAAAGTCATAACCTTCTCCTTCTGGCTCAATCAATTCAATTTCTTCCTCATCTTTTTCCTCATTTTCTGTTTGTTGCTCAGGTGTTTCACCTTCTTCTTGGACATTTTTTCTCATTAACCTTTTATTTATTACATCCATATATTTTTTTATTATTACTGGATCAGAACTGTAGAGTCTTCTATGTATAACATCCGTAAAACTGTGTATTCTTGAAGTTTTTCTGGCTTGAATTCTAGTTCAGTTAATCTTGTTTATTAGGAGAAGTCATTCGTTTTCGATATATAGCGAATAAAAAACCACAAAATGCCTCAATGGCTGTCATAATTCGAGATAACACTCTGGTATATTGTAAAAGCAGCCTATTTGATTTACTAACATGGAATCGATTCCTTTTCTGAACAATTAAAGTTTTATTTATTCAAAGTTAATCAGTGATTGCCAAAAAAAACCTTTCAAGTTCACCATCAATTGCATATTAAAATGGAACTCCCATTTACAAAACATCTTCAAAAGTCAAATTTATTGATGCATGTAATTAGCATCGACATTACTCAACAAATTTTGGAGCTTTTCATTTTTTTTCTGAAGTACTTGAAATGTTTTTCTTTCAATTGTCATTTGAATTTTGTTTAAATCACATCCAATCATGTACTGGGCAGTTATACTTGGATTATTAGCAATAATTGCGATCTTTGGTGTAAAAATTGTCAAAAGGGCAGTCAAAAAATGGATACCTAAGGATCTTGATAAGTTTTTTAGATCAATCGATAGACTTTCTTCTGAAAAGATTTTCAAAGTGAAGTTCCTTCATAAAGACATGTACTTTGTCCAAGATCCAGACTTGATTCACAAAGTTCTAACATCAGAAGTTTGCATGGAAAAGCCACGAATGATTTACAAGTTTTTCGGACTTAATGATGGACTTTTGTGTTGTGGATGTGAGTGCTATTCGAGTTATTCAAAAAATGCCGCTCAGACCAAAATCACTATCCTGTTCTCACGACGAAGAATCTTAAAGTTGTGACAGTGTCGTGATGGTGTTATGACGGCACTCAGACAACATGAAATTGAAATGAGGTCCTGGGTTCTAAGCATTTATATATTGCTTACTTTCAGATAAGCAGTGGCGAAGAGACAGAAAAAATTTTAGCAGTTCATTCAACAATGTCATGGTCAGTTGTTTCGTTCCGATATTTTGTAGAATAGCAGACCGAATGATTTGCAAAATTAAAATGAATGACTACAGTCAAAAGGAAGTAGACATGATACATTTCACAGAGCGCTGCACGATTTCGATGATTTTGGCTACGTCATTCAACATTTTTCCTGAAGATATTGCTAGTCCTGACGAAGAAATCGGCAGAGTAGCTGAAGCTGTTAAAATGTGAGTTTTTTAAGCTACAGCTAGAAAAAAAGTTTCAATTTTTGTAATTTGTAGCACATCTTTTATGTTATCCGAGCGATTCAAGAAGTTTGTAATGTTCTTTGACACTGTTTTTAAAAGAACTGAACAATACAGACAGCAAAATGAGATTAGAGATTCGTTGTACGATCTATTTCACAAAATTCTAGATGAAAAGACTAAAAATGGTAATAATAATGAAGAACAGCAGCCATCATTCTTCCAAAATATATTTTACAATAAAGTAATGACCTTTAAAAATGAAATGACTGAAGATCAAATTAAAGACTCAATATTTACTGTCATTGGCGCAGGTTTTGAGACAACAGGTAACCTGATCTAAAAGTTAATACTTTGCCTAATCCTTTTGACTCCATTATAGGTACTGCATCAGCTCACTGCATTCTTTTTCTTGCTATGCATCCAGAAATCCAAGAAAAGGTTCATCAAGAGATCATGTCAGTCTTTCCATCTGATGACATTGAGATTACCTACGATACTCTTTCAGAACTAAGTTATCTTGAAAATGTAATGAAAGAAAGCCTTCGACTGGGTCCTACTGTTCATTCAATAGCACGAGAAGCTATGGACAATTTTGAGATATCGCCTGGCAAAGTCATCAAACGTGGATCGATATTTTGTATCAATATTTACGGTCTCCATCATCGAAAAGACTTATGGGGAGAAGATGCAGAACTTTTCAATCCCGATCGCTTTCTTCCTGAGTATTTCGATGGCAAACAACAATATTTTATTCCATTTTCCATTGGTAGACGTAATTGCTTAGGCTATAGATATGCATACACTTCTTTTAAAGTTATGATGGTAAAGCTACTGAGAAATTTTAAATTCACAACAAACCTTAAGTTAAATGAGATCAAGTTCAATCGTCAAATCGCACTTAAACTGATGGGTAAACATTTAGTCATGATCGAAAAGAGACATTAAGAAATTTAACACTAAACTGTCAATTATTTTTCTATATTCACATTTTCTATCAAAAAAGCTTTATATTTTTTTTTTAATTTTACAATAATAAGTCCACTTGGATAAAATCAAAATTTAAGGTGGAATAATTGGTTTCATATAATTGGTTTGAGATATTTAATCCAGCTACCTATATTACTAATATTACAAAAAAGGAATTTTCACAATTTTGCAAAAAAATACTGAGCAGGTAAACAAAAGTTCAAACATTTTTAATTACTTTTCATAAAATTGTCGAATTAAACTGTTTTTGATGTGGGTAAATTCACTTTCTCCTTGAAAGTTTTTTTTTTAAAATATGAGTATCAATTTGCTTCTGAAAACTTATAAAAACCAGGGACCAAAATGAATGAAAAATATCTGTGATGAAAAACATCATTATTTTTGATGATGAAAAAACTTATGATTTTTTTCATTTACGTAAACTATTACGTAAAATTTCATCACGTAAGAATCATTTTTACGTAGAATTTCATCACGCAAAGCAAAAAATGACGAATAAAATGTTTCTACACAAGTTTTTTAAGCAAAACTAATATATTCTATCCCTTGTTCTTATTATGTAGCATTATTAATTCATTTGATGTGATTTTATTGCATTTTTTGCTTTACGTGATGAAATCTTACGTAAAAATGATTCTTAAAAAAAAAACCTTTACCTATTCAGATCAATTGTGATCCAGAGGTGCGCTAGGGCGATTCGCAGCTAATGAGAGTTTAACGAGTGATCAAAAATAAAAATTAAAATGTTTTCAAAATTTCGTGTTTTAAAGAAATTTGAAAATGACTACAAGTAGAATAGATCGAAAATTTCGAGAGATGAAGCGCAGATAGTATTTTTTTCCCCAAAACATTGGAAAAGTTGTTAAGAAATATTATACAGAACTAGATAACTTCTAAACATTTTCCAAGGGTCAGACATTTTAAAGTATTGTACGGTATTGTACAATACTACTATACTTGTATGGAAAGTATTGTAAGTATTGTAAGTATTGTAAGTATTGTACAATACTTACAATACTTTTCATATAAATTTACAATACTTTACAATACTTACAATACTGAAATTTAATTATTCAAAAACCAAATTTTTTTTGAGTTTTTAACAATTTGTAAAACCAAATTTAATACTTTTTTTTGACAAATATTGATAAATAACAACTTTTTTTGATAAATTTTTTTTACATTTCTAAAACCATACCTAAATTAACATTATTATTGAAAATTAGCATGGATATTTTATGAAAAACCAGCACAAATTTCAGTTTTCCATTAAAAGAGATTCTGATTATGTAATGGCTATAAAAATGATAAAAAGTTCAAAATTTTTTTGTAAAGCTAGACTGATGCAAATCAAGAATTGATTTCATACAATTCTCATGCATAAAACCGTACAGGTCCGAAGTTTATTATGTAAACTAATAATAAATGTCAGTAAGGAATCAAAATTAAATAGATTGGTTTCATTTTCACAAGATTTATCTTTTTTTATAGCAAACTGCATTACGTTTTATACAAATTTTTTGATTAAAGTATAAGGTTTTAGGGGTCGTTCACTTATTACGTTACGCAAAAAAACGACTTTTTTCATCCCCCCCCCCCCTTGTTACATTATGTTACAACTCACAACCCCCCCCCCCCCCCCCCCTGAACGTTCATAATTTATTTTATCATTAAAAAGGTGGAAAATTTGAAAAAATGTTTTTGGTGTGAATTTTCGTGAACTTTTTTTTAAAAGACAGACGACAGTTGGAACGTTACATACTTCTTGGCACCCCCCCCCCCCCCTTATGTTACATTTTGTTACAAATTTTCAAACCCCCCCTCCCCCCTAAAATGCGAACGTAATAAGTGAACGGCCCCTTAAGTGTATTCAAACATTACTTTGACGATTTGATTTTTTTTACCTATGACAAGAAGGCGATTAAGGAGGAATCAAATTTAACAAACTTATCAAATGGTTTTTATAGCATTTTTTTTTAAAATACATATTTTCAACAACTGCATCTCTAAGACAATATAAAACTGTATATTTTCTTCTTTCTTTGTCAAAATTATTCTTATTTTTTTTTTAGTTCTTATAGTTGATACTAGACTTTCATGATTTCCTTTTCCCAAAATTTTTGGGACAGAAACTCGATGAATAAAAATAGTTATCCAAAAAATTTTAATGTCAAATTATCTCATTTGAAAAGTTTCATCATTTAAACGCAAAAAAATCTTCCAAATTTCCAGGAGCATGTTTGATATTTGAGATTAAATTTTTGTCCAGTTCCCGATAATTTTTTGGGTCCGGAAAATCGTGAATGCCTAGTTAATACAAAAATATATATCATTTCAGGAAAATTCACTGAAAATTTCGGATGAAAAATGTCCTTACTAAAAGCAAAGTAAACTTTAAAGAAACAAACTTAAATCGAGGAATAACAAAGTTATGATTTAGCTTTTTGGCTGCATATGGCGTTATATCGCCTTTGTTTCGAGCCAGAATACTATTGACAATTTAGATAAATGACTTTATTACCAAAAATTTTGTATACAAATTTATTTATTATATATAATATTTTTATATTTTTTTTTGTCATACAAGTATTGTAAGTATTGTAGGTATTGTACAATATTTACAATACTTTTGGAGTGTCTGACCCTTAACATTTTCCCATTTTGATTTGATGACTATTACTTATATTATTGAGTTAAATTTAATAAATTGAAAAGTTTTTGATTAAAGACACACTAAAATAAAATTTTATATCGAAATACCTACAGAATCATTTGAAAATATAACTTAGAAAGACCTATGAAGGTAAATTTCGAGTAAACGTTTTAAATTTTTTTTAAATTGTTTTAAAAATTTATAAAAACTGCAAAATTATAAGATTAGTGAAACTTGCAAAGCCTGGAAGTTTGTAAACAAGAACTAGTGAAATCGCAAGTTTGTACCAAAAACTTGTGAAACCACAAGTTTGCTGGATTCCAACCCCTTGTTAAAAGTGAATCAAAAGAAGCAATCACTACGAAGATTTCAACAGACAAGGAAGTTTCGGATGTAGAGTCAGAGCCATTCAAGGAGGAGCTGAGCGTGTGCTTGACCTCAAAGGCTGTGAAGTAAGACTCGTGTCAGGCGATTAAGACAGAGGTGGAAGAACGTGAGATTGTACCGCTGGCGTATCTCAGAAATAGAAAATGTCTCTATCAATTAATTGATTCGTAAAATAATTGGACGCTCAATATGTATGTAAATCAAAAAGAAAATCAACTTTTAACCCTAGCGAGACTAACTAGCAAATTGCTAGTCTTTCTATTCTACTACTTGCAATTTACTAGTTATTATTAAAACAACTTGCTATTAGTAAATTACACTTGCAATTTAATAGCAAATTACCATGTGGAATGTTTCATCAAATCTGATTAAGTTCGAATCTAACGAAAAATCATCAAAACTAGTGTATCGGGTAGAAACCCAATGCGGATTATATTCACACCGTACCAACAAAAGTCTTATGGATAGACCAAGATTTGCCCAGCATAAGTATTAAGGTATGAAGCTTGATAAGTTAACTGAGCTTCGCTCAGCATAAGTTTTGAGTTATAAAGCTAGCGAGTCAGCTGAGCTTTGCTCAGCATATGTTTGAAGGTCTAAAGCTTAACGTCAAAAGTTGAATTTTATAAAAATCACAGTAAACTTTTTTTTTTGAAAAATTCGTGAGAAAGAAAAGTTTTTTGCTTTTTCTGAAGCAACGGCTGTTTCTACCTTCCCTAAAAAAAATACAGCTCTTCTATAGAGCAGCATGGATCAAATGTAAAAAACTAGAAGTCTCTACGATGTCTCGTTATTGAGATTTCTTGCTGATTAACTTGCTTGTTTGCTTGTTTGCTTGCTTACAGAAAGCGTATTTTGCGATTTTCTCAGCAATACCGCAACCAATTTGAAATCTGTTTTTTGCATAAGATGTGAAATTTCAGGCACAAACTTTTCATCTTAGAACATGTTAAGCTATCTTGCTACATTTCATCGCAAAATGCAAAAAACTTATTTTTCAATCTGAACAAAACCAATAGATTCACACGTGAAAACGGTGTGAATATAAAAAGAATTTTTGCGTCATAAAAATAATTTTTTGCGTCATAAAAAGAATTGTTTGCGTCATAAAAAGAATTTTTGCGTCATGAAAAGAATTTTTTGCGTCATGAAAAGAGTTTTTAGCGTCATAAAAAGAATTTTTTGCGTCATAAAAAATTTTGTTCTAAATTTGGCATTTGCCATATACTTCACAAGACAAGCAGAAATCACCTTTCTAAGCTCGATCCAAATTTGTATGTGACTTTCAATTAATTATTTATCTTCCTCATGGGCGTTCATCAGTTTTTGACTTAATTAAATTAAGTCTTTTATTTTTTTGATAGTGTTAGTGTACTTTAATTATTTAACTTTACTAAGTGCACACTAATACTTTTATAATAATTTACACAAATAAGAAAAATCAAAAGAACACGTGGAAATCAATAAAAAAGTTAAATTGTAAGCGAATTGACTAGTCAATTAACAAGTTAAGTGCCTTGCTGGTCGAATACGTAAGGCGCTTGGCTCAAATTTGGTATGGTAACTCGAAGGTCGTCGGTTCGAATCCAGCCATTTCCAAATTTGTTCTTTTTCAGAAGTTTAGATACTTCGACTGCTTAATGTACGAGTCAAGCCATAATTGGGCATTTTGGGCAACGTTGGATTAAGGAACGGATCAGGAACTTGAAGTGTAGCGGGAGAAATAGGAACGAGAGCTACAAGATTACCTTATAATGGAATATTGTCAGAACGGACCTGAAATGTATCACGTCACGCCCACAGAAGATTGAAACGAGAGCCTTAGTTTATTTGAAACCTAGATTTGAAGATTAGAAGCTTGATTTACGTCACCCATAGTGATATGAAATGTATCACTAATCAATGTAAAAAGTAAAAACATGTATAAATACTAATTCTTCCGGACGGTAACGTCGACAAATAAATAATAATAAAGTGAAAATGCAGGTCTTTGGCGATGATTTGAACTTGGATTTTGACTAGTAAATAGCAAGTAGCAAATGGAAAGTTATCCAGTAAATTACTAGGAAATTAAACCTAATTACTAGGAAACTAAATTTCTGCTAGGGTAAGGGTCAAAAATTAAAAACTTAGCTTTGTCCTAAGTGTTATGCTGTCTTCTGTCTTCGTTGTGGCATCCTTCAATTATTTATTCATGCTTAAACTTTCACTTAATCACTTTATCCTTGAATTTTGGATTGTTTTTTTTCATCAATTTATTTTTCGCGAATTTCACTTTAATTTGTCAAGTAGCTCTAAAGACCGATTCGAATGCATTCAATAGTTTTTAATTCCATCACTAAATCAACTTATTACCAATACATATTGTTACAAATTCAAATCGTTTATATTAATTTTAAAAAAAAAACACGTCTTGCATCTTCAACGCTCTGAGAAATACTGAATGAAATTGTGAATAAATTGTAACTTAGATGAAAATTTTAATCAGTTTAATTTCACATTTTCATTAATTTTATATAATTTAATCTTACCTACCTATGTTGCTAATGACATCCTCAGCAGCTTGCTGTTCATGTGATAACAGTTGTTAAAATTAACGGTTTTTAGAACATATTCAAACAGTTTGTTTTTGTTTTGGTTCGATTATCAATTTTGAAGCTTGAGTTGATCTAATTAATATCATGGATATTAGACCGAAATGTGATATTCTGGAGGTGCTAAAGAATCCTAAGAATGGAAAGTTCTGCTGTGTTGTTGCTCGTAAGTCATTTACTCTTTTAAATATAACTTTTATTGATTAAAGCACATTTTTAGCCATGGTTCGTTATTCTAGACTGGAATTCAGGTCATTAGCAAGGAATTATGGAGCTGATATATGTTTTACGCCAATGACAATAGCCAATTCATTTATTAGAAGCGAGAAATGCAGACAGGTAGAGTTCACAACCAATTTTGAAGATAATCCAGTCATAGCTCAATTTGCAGCTAATTGTACGACTGATTTCCTTTATGCTACTCAAATGATCCAGAACTATGTCAATGGAGTTGATTTAAACTGTGGATGTCCACAAAAATGGGCTAAAGAAGACGGCTATGGATGTTATTTATTAAAGAAATCGGAAGTCATTGAGGATATGATGAAAACAGTCAGAAGAAACACACCATCAGACTTTTCAGTATCTATAAAAATCAGGCTGTTAACAAAGGATATTAAGAATACAGTTGTGCTTTGCAGGCAGCTACAGTCATTAAATGTTTCATTTATAACAGTTCACGGAAGAACTCCAAGTGAGAAGTCGTCATCAGATAATCCAGTAGACTATGAGGCAATAGCTGAAATCAAGAAATCCTTAAGCATTCCTGTAATATTTAATGGAGATGTTTCGTCTCTGGATGAAGCCAATAAATTTTACGAGCACACAAAATGCCATGGATTTATGTCAGCAAGAGGAATGTTAGCGAATCCAGCACTATTCGCTGGTTATAAGGAGACACCACTTTCATGTATTCAAGACTGGATAGACATACATCATCAACAAAACGATCGAATGACATTTCAAAATTTTCATCATCATTTAGTATTCATGATGGAAAGCATGCTGAATAAAGCTGAAAGAAATCTGTTCAATGACTTTACGAAGAAAAAGCAATGCTTGGAATTTTTAGAAGAAAGGTTCTCGTTGACACCAAAACCTATAAATTTTCCACAAAATACTTTGTGCACATACGATGACAGTAACTACAAGCAGCTTATTAGCAATGAAGAATTTTGGAGGAGTTCGTACACATCAGAATCAAGTCATGGGCAGTTCTTTTTAAGTAAGTTGCATAAAATAAAAACAAAAAATGATGACTACCTTGAATTTATGGACAATTGCTCCGATTTATTTTCATAAACAAATTCTTATCGCTGGAAATGAACAGCTTTTGAAAATTTGGAAATTTGTAACTTAAATAATTCAAATCGAAATTTGAACTTAATTAATAACGAATTTTCTAAATTTAAAAGTCATCTACTGAAAATTCAAAAATTGAGGTTCAAAATAACGAACTTTTTAAATCCTCGCCGATTTAAACAAATCCCAATTTTAATCCAAGATTAGAAAGCCATCCATTTATAAGCGAGTGTCTAGGTACAAAATAAATAAATTCTATCACCGGCAAAACATAACAAAAACGAACATTTTTCAATAAAAAAATTAAAAATTTATAAAACTATCAATCACCTAAAATGCCTGCGCTTAAGCTAAGCTCACTCTTTGAGGCGTTTCAACCGTTACAGACTTTTTATTCTTAAATTTATCGTATAGGACTCGATATTTCTCAATATCTTGTTGATTTAATGACGGTCTAGTGCTCTTAAAAGCGTTTTCTAAATGCTCCTGAGTTATAAGCACTTGTTCCACAAATTTGCCATTATTTTTATTCAGTTCCTGTTCAATTGCACTCATATTCGATGTTGTTAAGACACTCTTAATATCAGCTCCTGTAAAGCTGTTCATTTTGGCAGCAATTTTCTTAAAATCAACATGTGAGTCAAATGTTAATGATTTTGAAAGGAATCGAATTATTTCCAATCGTTCCTGTCCGTTCGGTAGTTTACATTCTACTAGTCTGTCTATACGTCCACTACGCAACAATGCTGGATCTATAAGATCTGGACGAGATGAAGCACAAATAATTGAAACACCTTCTAAACTTTTAACGCCATCAAGTTCTGTTAGCAATTGATTGACAACTCTGTCAGTTACGCCTGTTGAATCATGTCCACGTCTTGGTGCCAAACTTTCAAATTCATCAAAAAATAGAACACATGGCTTTGCTGATTTTGCTTTTTCAAATAGATTTCTGACATTTTCCTCACTTTGACCGATATATTTGGCAAGCAGTTCTGGACCTTTAATGGATATTAATCTTAAGTTCCATCGTTTAGTGATTTGAGACACAATAAAGCCTTTGCCACTTCCTGGCATTCCAAATAACAAAATTCCAGCTTGATTTCTCAACGGCGAATTTTTGAATATTTTTGGGAATTTCGTTGGCCAAATCAGCACTTCCTCTAATGTCTCAATGACATCATCCATGCCTGGAATTTTCTCAGTCAGATCAAGTTTCTCATCATCATCATTTGCAGTCTCTGTTTTGATTCCTTCAAGACATAATTGATTAGAAATGGTCAATGACTTTTTCATAATATCTTCAGTCACGACTGGATTTGAATAATCATGCTTAAAAGCAAAGAAAATCGCACGGTCAGCAAATTGACTGATATCCCCAATTTTATAGCCTTCAGTAATTCTAGCAAATTTATCCCAGTCAAGTGTTGAGTCCAATTTTACTGACGATGTCTCGAAGAAGTGCTTAAAAAGTGATTTTCTGTCTGTAGCCTCAAGATTTGGTATTTTAGTGACATTCTTGAATAAGTAGCTTCCGAAACTTTTGTGGATAATTTTGCTGATATTTGACAATTTTGAAATTGTTATTAATAAGTTTACAGCACTGCCATAATCGTGTGTAAATTCCTCAAATAAGTGCCTCAAATTATTTGCCAATTTCTGTTGATATTCGCCTTCTTGTGACTGCTGCTCCTCGTGTGACTGATAACACAATGTATCCAGTCCATGAATCATGTAAACCGATGGTGATGTTTTCAGGCATTCCAATAGAGTAGCTTTCATATCCTTAATTATTGAATCAATTTTTCTTCCTTTATATTGAGCACAATTAAAGACAGTCACACTAATGTTCCGTTCCTCTAAATTCTTCTGGATCTCATTACAAACTGTCGTCTTGCCTGAATGTGTTGGACCTACGAGGATGCTATTATTCTGTTCTGACTTCATGACTCGATATCTATTGCTGACTGGATGTATATCATGTGTAAAGTCATTGACTATTTTCTCAATCTTATCTAATTGATATAAATCAGTTTCATCCTTCTTCTTATTCCTCTTATCTTTCTCTTTTTCTTGCTGCAACATGGCTGCAAATTCATGCGGTTCTCCTCGCTTAATTACTTCAATTAAATCCTCACGAAGGATCTCACTATCGATGCAACAGGCTGTTGTTGACAATGGATATAACTTAATTGTCAATAGATAGTCATCAAGCTTAAAGATCTGATTCTGATTGAGGATTAATGGAAGTATTCTTGAATTTGCATTTACGTATTTCTTGAATTTCTCATCAATGTCTTTTGCAATTTGAATGCCAAAATTATTTTCAGATATATTTGAATGTGGGATGAGCTCAATGCCTTCAATGCAGTTAGACACGAGTTTTGTTTCTATTATTTCCAATTGTATGCCTTGTTGGATGTTGAGCACTTTCGCTAGTACTGGATGAATTTCGGCTGTATTTTCAGGCACACTTTCATTATATTTCACACGTACGTGATATTCCTTATCATCCTTTGTATGTATTTTATGGATCTGATTGATATTAACCGCTGCAGACTTAGAAATGTAGATATCATTAATTTGCATGAATTTCTGTGCCTTTTTCTTATCATTTACAATTTTTATCTTAATAAAATAACGCTTCTGTATTTCTCTTGCTAGTGCCTTCTTTATGTCTTCAAGTAGTAATTTATGATTCTGTTTTGATTCCGACATTAATGATGATGAGGCAATAATTTTTGGTATGCTACTCGAACTCACACTATTTAATAATTTACGTTTTGGCGATTCTGTGTTAGATAATTGTTCGAGGAACTGCTTTGACTTTTCTTGAACTCTCTTTATATTGCTTGTACTCAAACTGCTTGAAATTGGCACAAACTCTTTATCTTCTTTCGTCTCGTATGACTTAATATTACTCAAACTTGAACTTGGAATCAATGGATTAATTTTCTTTGGCACTGACTCTATCACATTCTCACTACGTCCATTAACACTTGTTTTTGCACTGTCATTATCCTTCGATGTAAGTCTCTTAATGCTACTTCTTGGACTAACCGATGGAGGTTTCTTAGCAGTCATTTCCAATGAATCCCATCCATTAGATGTCCGACGACTACTTCCATTTATGTCTGGTGCGTCCAAAAATTTGCGTGACTCAATAAAACTATTATTACGTCTTAAACTTTGTGGATAATTTGAAAAATCCACAGTCTCTGATTTTTCGATGACACTCCGTCGCTTCATCTTTGCGTCTGAATCGTTTGCAGTTTTCGTTTTCTGTCGCATAAAGTCCGCTTGGGTCATTTTCCTATTTATTGATATTTCAGTGTCATTTTGTATACGTCCATAGTTGAAAGATGGACTCAAATTATCTAAAAATAGAAATGCGAGCTGAGCGTATAATTATAGAATGAATGAATAAGAATGAAAAGGGCATGAAGCAAAAATAAGAATAAGAAATTTACCGACGACAGCGTTTACGGAAATGGATTTATTAAGCCATATAACAAACGGTTGATATCGACCCACAATTGAGATTTGATCCAGCATGTCATTTTGGATTCTGTCTAATGAACATTCAGCAACTTGATAATCTTCATCTGATAAATTTATAGTCACAGATTTTAAAGTTGAGGCACTTTGAATGACTGAACATGAAATATTGATGCCATCCTTGATTCCTAGGAGATCTGCTAATTGTGGATTAATGCCAAGTTCCTCTTCCTCAAATGGATTTGTAGCTCTAATGTTGTTCGACCATGACACATAAACCTGTAAGACATTGAGAATGGTCAAGCAACTCGAAAACTTATTAATAGTCTAACTCACACTCTTGTACTGTCCGGTCCGATAATCGCTGAAATGCAGCAAAAGACATCCAGTCTTACATGTCGAAACTAATCTTTTGTATGTTTCTGGAAGATCCTGAGGATTAAAAAAAGTATAAAGTTCAACTTGATGTGAATTTAATTATTTTACGTAACTTGATATGCTTACCACAAAATTGGACTTGATTGGCTTATATTTGACAGCAAAATTCCTTGCAAACATGTCTATTGTCTCTTATGACCTAAAGATGTGTGGGAATTAAAATATGTTTCAAAAACATTAGTCTCGAGTAATAATAGCTAGCCGTGTTCTAAAGTTTAGTCTGTACTAAACCGATTCACAGACTGTGTTTATGTCTAATTCTCTTATTGTACATAAAACTGAATCATCCAGTGCAAAAGAAGAAAATTGTCAAATAATTAACTTTTAATGTCTAATTACGCTTTAAATGGTTAATTATAGTTGACACAACATGAGCAAGCAGTCTTGTGAGAAAATATGCGTTGTAAGTGACAATAAAACTTATTTTCGGGAAGATAAAAAATGATTTTGATTAAAGGCTAAATTCCTGCCTGTTTTTGGTAAATTCTAAGAACATACAAGAGTCCAAAAGTCAATCACCGTGATCTGCAAGTTATTTGTTATGTCTTGAAATCGCTTTTGTTCACTGGATCATTGGATGTGATAGAAAGTGATTTAAATAAATAGAACGCAATCTATATTTCATTGTGCCATTATCAAATAATGCAGCTGTGACATTAGAAATGATTAAATGGATGGGAAAATGTATGATTAAGTGCCTCACTAAGCTGTTCTTGATTCTTTTATGTTTATTGATTTATAGTAGCTGGAAATTGTTATATGACTGATGAGAATAGAATTTTTAACGACTATTATACTAATGGATAGTGTGTGGATTGGGCACCATAGTGAATTTTGAAACGACTTTTTTTATTTCAAATTTTTAACGACAATCTTAATTTTGAATTTTTGAACTTTGGAAATGCTGAAACAATATTCAAATTTTAATTATCCGTTAAACATATTTTAGGTTTGCGGCGATCGTTCATTAGGATTCAACTTCAATGTCTTAAGCTGTGAATCATGCAAGGCGTTCTTTAGAAGAAATGCAATATCGAACAAGAAGTTTTCATGTCCATTTTCAAATGTATGTGAGATAACAGTAATAACGAGAAGGTTCTGTCAAAAATGCAGGCTCGAAAAGTGCTTTAAAGTTGGCATGAAGAAGGAATACATAATGAGTGACGAGGACAAGGAAATAAAGAGGATGAAAATCGAACAAAATCGCAATAAAAGAAAACTGAGGATTGATCCAGAGGATAAAACCTTTAAGAAAATTAAGGATGAAAAGTCACCAGCACCGAGTATAGCAACAAATAATTCGGATGATTCCGACGATCAAAGTGTTTCATCAAATCAAATTAAATTATCATCACAATCGAGTGTAATTGATATTGTTAGTGCAATAACTGAGATTCCAAAAGAATCCAGTAGAATAATACAGCAAGTGATGAAGACACAAGATGAGGCATTGTCAGTTATGAGTCGAATTATTAATGATTCTAATCAGGCACTCTTACTCATTTCACATTTAATTAAAAATCCTAGTGACGGCATGTTGATTATATCCAAAATGATGAGTCAATCGCCACTGGATGCTCTGTCCGTATTCACACAATTTATGAGCTCTCCTCTTGATGCCTTACAAATCATCTTTAAAATCATGTCATCACCAAAAGACGTCCTTAAATTCATGACAGAATTAGCAAAGGCACCACAAAATGCAATGGACATAATGAGGCAATTCATGTCGAGTACAACAGAAAGTTTACAAAACATGAGTCGATTAATATCCAATTCAGGAACAAATAATAATATTCAATATACTGAGAATGAGACAATTAAATCAATGCTTGATGTCAGCTCATTAGACAGTCCAAAATCACTTATATCCATGCCATCACCAAGTACACAAATCAATTCACCGTCAAGCTCATACAACGATTCAGACTCGAACAATAATGACTATCAACAGCTGACATCAGCCATTCTAAAGGAAATAGCTTATGACATATCCGGAAAGAAAGCACATAAAGTCAATTCAATTGAATCAATCATAAATGAAGCTATAAAATTGGAATATAATACACCAGAAATGATTACAAATTATGGAAACACATGTCGGGAATTGAATGAAGTTGAAATGATGAAAATTCAGGAACTTTTGGATGCAAATTGTGCGCTATATGCTCCAGTTGAGGAAGACCATTTGTCATTTCTCGGATTGGGTGAAAATCTATCAATGAAGCCTGAGGCAAGCTTTGTTGATCCAATTCTCTTAAAAGTCATTAATTTAACAGCTGTAGCCATTCGACGACTCATAAAAATGAGCAAGAAAATATCTGGATTCAAAAAGATGTGTCAGGAAGATCAAATAGCTTTATTGAAGGTACGAACGCATGACTAATTCAATTCCACTTGATGCTCATATCCATTATTTTATTACAGGGAGGATGCACAGAGATGATGATTTTGCGGAGTGTCATGCAATATGACTCTGATAATGCTTTATGGAAGATTCCGTCAATGAACCGAACGAATTTAAAAGCTGACATCTTAAAGTTATGTCCAAAGGGAAATGTTTATGAGGAACACGAGAATTTTATTAAAACGTTTGATGTAAGGCTTCGGACGGATGAAAGAGTTGTACTCATCTTATGTGCAATCACTTTATTCTGTCCAAATCGAGCTGGTATTATACACAGCGATGTCATAAAGTTAGAACAGGTGTGTACATTTCGTCATGTTTCTTTGAGTGACTAAGTCGTAGCCTTATCTCTCTCTCTGCTGGATTGTTGGAAGTGTAATGTTCGATAATTTTCGTATTTGTGTAATTACAATCTCTGTTAATTAATTTTGAACATCTGCTGATAAGCTGTTTCATGCTCTTTCGAGTGATTACAGTTGATTTAAGTTTATTATTTTTGTAAAAATCCGCTAAAATTCAAATACTTGAATTCAAACGTTTTTTTGGAAATTTGAATTTTTGAACTTAAACAGAAGTTCAAATTTTGACCTTGAACAAAATTACAAATTGTGAACTTAAACAAAATTTCAAAATTATGGAAGCCGTTAGCATTTAAATTTTTGAAATCCGTTATGAAAGTTCAAATTTTGAACTCGATTAAAATTTCAAATTCTCAAAAACCGTTAAAAGTCATCCTAAATGCTTATTGAACTAAAATTAACTTAATCTTTAATCTCTGTCTTGCTGATAATTCAAATTGTCTTCTTCTTTTTATAGAATTCTTATTATTTTTTACTACGTCGTTATCTTGAGAGCATTTATGAAGGTTGTGAGGCTCGTTCGATATTTCTACAGCTGTTGAAAAAACTTCAGGAAGTCAGAAGGCTGAATGAAGGTAATTATGCTAATGATTAATGGCATTTCCATAATCTATGCTCAATTTTTTTTCTTATTACAGAAGTCATATCCGTCTATTTGGATGTTAATCCAAGTCAAGTTGAGCCTTTGTTGCGTGAAATTTTCGATTTAAAAGTCTAATGTTATTCATGTTGGTGTTTGAGACATAACAATTATTATTATCTTTATGCTGGCCATACAAGATTTACTATACTATACCTGAGATGTGAAGACACTTTAAGTGGGAAGCACTATATATATTTTGTAAAACATTATTTAAAATGGAACAAAAGTGAAATTTTCAAACCAAAAAGAATTTAGCAATAAAGTAAAATGTGCTGATGATAAGTCACAGTCAATGAGGACATAGAATGGCACGAATTTTGTTTTATTGTTTTGATGACTTTAAAATTGAAATTGCAGCAAAAGTCACTAATTTCAAAATTGTCTCAATTATTCACTTTTTATTCAATTTTATGTCATTATTCTTCTTATTTGTTAACAAAAAAAACATTTGTTTACAGCTTTTATCATCAGAAATAAAAGTTAAGTGGTACCTACATTAATCTACATCATAAAATCGTTGTTAATTGGTTTTTCATCGTAACTGGTTTTTTTATTCTTTTTATCACATTTGAATTTAGATTTTCTTTTGAAATTTATTTCTTTACTGTCAATACTAAGAAGCTTCTACATCCTTGGAATAATTTCTATTTAAAACACTCACAAATCCAACAATTTTAAATAATTTCTTTGGATTAATTTCAATTTTTTCCCCTTCTTAATTTGAGGATTTGACTTTAATTTGATAGATTAAACTTTAATCCAATGGATTAAATTTTTAATTCGACATATTAAATTCTAAATCCTAAGATTTAGCGTAAATCCTTCAAATTACATTCCAATCAGGAATCTAATTTATTCATATCTTCAAATTTTATTATGGATGTTATGAGACCTTCGAAAATTGTTATTTCTATTGGGAAAAATCAGAACCTCAACACCAATTTGTAAATCTTAAACCACTCACTCTTAAAACTCAATTCCCAGACTAATCTAAACCGCGAATTTGGCAATAAAATTACTTCCAAGGATCGATCATTAACGGTGTAAAAAAAAGTCGAAGAGATATTAATAGCGATTAATGAGACACTATTGATAACAAGTCAAATGTATATAAATGAATAAAATGTAGATAGTACGAGATATCATAAAATAATTAACAATTTAAGATACGAGATATTAATTTAATTTAAAGACGAGAGTCAATTACAGATTGAAAAATCAATTGAATATGTACATAGTATATTAATTGGAGATAATACGTTAATTTAGTGAATGTAATTCAGCATTTACTATATTTTATAGGCCTTTGTGAATGAGATTTTCTATGTTTGTATGAGAAACTATATATTCAGGAATATGTCTTTATTTCCTGCCATTTAAAACAATATTATTAATACAATCAATTCAATCTTCTTGATGAGCAAATATTTCATTATCATTCTTTTGGGTCAAAGTACTCGAAATGATTCTATTGAAAGTATACGGAACGGAAAGAGGGAGATTAATAGAACTATAGAGCTCTTTGTTCTAGAGCAGCTCTGCTAAAAATATGCTTGTTCGTAGTCACTTTTGCTGACTGCAATGAAAGAAAATTTTAACGGTTTTCTGATTTTTGAAATTTTAAGGGTTTTTTCGAGTGTTTTGTATTTTCCCGAAAAGCAAAATAACGAATAACCGTTATTACGAATTACAAATTTACGAATGTTCATTTTTACGAAAATTTTTATGGTAAAAACTTATAGGATATAATTTGAATCTCAAAAAACCGTTGGTTAAATCAAACATTAAAAGACAATTTACATCAATTTCATCATTTAAATGCGAATAGATATGATATAATAATTATTATAAGATGAAGGATTAATAGAACTACAAAAAGAATTGCATTTATTTAAATGTGTAATATTTTTTCTTGTTTTATGGGTAATTCCATGAGAAAATTTTATAGCAAAATAAAAATTTTATAGAAAAAATATTTCACATTTAAATAAATGCAAATCTTTTTTTCAGTTCTATTAATCCTTCATCTTTTAATAATTATTTTATCATATCTAATCGCATTTAAATGATTAAATTACTTTTAACTGTCTCAATATTTGATTTTATCCAACGGTTTTTTGAGATTCAAATTATATCCTAAAAGTTTTTACCATAAAAATTTTCGTAAAAATGAACATTCGTAAATTTGAAAATTCGTAAAAATTGTTTTTCGTTATTTTGCTTTTCGGGAAAATACAAAACACTCGGTTTTTTCGAGTGCCTATTAAAATAACGAATTTTAAAATTTCGAAACTTCATTTTTACGAACACTCATTTTTACGACCATATCATTTTTACGAAAAATTATTTTTTCGACTTTTTTATAAATTTCAAATTCTAAAATGTCGTTAATTTCATCACGTGTTCTCTTCAATAATAAATCTGCAAAGAAAAGATTAATAGAACAAATGTTTTTAAATGTATGGAATTAAAACGTATTTTTTATTCAATATCACATTTCATGGACTATATGTGTATGTTTAAAGGAGTAACAAACACAATTAAGCTCTTAAATCATTTTTAACTCCTGCAATAGCCTTTGATGTTTCAACTCGTGGCACGGATTTTCAACGGTTCAGGATTGATTTAATGGAATTCTCTGTCTTTTCAAAACCTGGCATTCTATGCTTTTGTGGCTTTCCAAATTTTGAAAAGACAGAGAATTCCATTAAATCAATCCTGAACCGTTGAAAATCCGTGCCACGAGTTGAAACATCAAAGGCTATTGCAGGAGTTAAAAATGATTTAAGAGCTTAATTGTGTTTGTTACTCCTTTAAACATACACATATAGTCCATGAAATGTGATATTGAATAAAAAATACGTTTTAATTCCATACATTTAAAAACATTTGTTCTATTAATCTTTTCTTTGCAGATTTATTATTGAAGAGAACACGTGATGAAATTAACGACATTTTAGAATTTGAAATTTATAAAAAAGTCGAAAAAATAATTTTTCGTAAAAATGATATGGTCGTAAAAATGAGTGTTCGTAAAAATGAAGTTTCGAAATTTTAAAATTCGTTATTTTAATAGGCACTCGGTTTTTTCATTTGAATTTTTTGATCTTACAGAGTTCAATTTTTTTGAATTTTCGATAAACGTTAATTTTGAACCAAATTTTCGCTTGAAAACTGAAGAAGAATTCAGATTGCGCTTTAAATAAATTTGATCGGAAACGTAATTTTTAAAATCTATTCTTAACTACTGAAATGATGAATTCTTCCTGTTCGTTTCAAATAAAAGAGATTTATGCTTTAAGAGCAACGATAATTTGAATAACAATCAAATTTCTTCATTAATCATTGTTCTTTGCTGTTACTTTCTCTACTGTTTTTTTAAAAATTATTTAACAATTTTAGCTGTAAATCGTTTATAACAATTGAGAATGAAAATTAGAGTACTATCTCGAACTTTCTTAATAAATGTCATACACACTTAATTTACAGCAATATTCTTAAATCACAACGCACGTAAATCATTTTTTATTTAATATAAAAGTGGCAGGTTGATGATTCACGTGACAAATATATACTTTTTATATATAATACACACAAAAATCGATAAATTTAGTAATAGAAGAAGATTAATCAATTAACTACTTAAAATCGAAAGACGAGAGACAATTGATTTAACCGTCGAAAAATATTCAAATTTACTAACACATACAAAGATTGAACTTTATTGAATTTTGCAATATTATCGATTAAAGGTTGCTGTTGAACTATTCAGTATGCTTTGACGGCAATGTTTAAAGTTGTATAAAGCAACCAAACATGATCTGTACTTGAAATATATTGAATTCGAGTCTAATTTTAACCTTTTTTCATTTGAATAAAATTTAAAGTAGTGTTAGTGATTTTTCTTGAACAAAATTCAAAAATTTCTTGACCGCTTAAAATTTAAATATTTTTTGACAGTTACAAATTCCTTAAATCACTCTTGGTTCTACAGGATATTATAAAAAAAAAAATCTATTTAATTTACTTTAAAGATGATAAACTTTAACTCGTGCTGAGTATAAATAAGAGCTCAGACGTCTGAGTCATAAGGATTAAATTTATGAAAAGAAAAAAAAGACTATTAAAATTCAATAACATATCGTGAGAGTTTATTAATAGTTTTTCGTTAGTGCTTCCTTTAGTCTAACATATTCTATGGCAATTTCTAAATTTCTTTTCGATTTAAATTTCTCTTAAATTATTAATTCACTTTGGATTGTTCACTTATGGCATTTCAAAAACCCCCTTATAATCCTCTCTTCCTCCCGTGCATCTCACAAGTGAACCCCATTTAATAATTTAGTAATTGACTATATAGCTACAAATGTAGATCAAATAGAAGAAGGAAAAAAGTTTTTTGGGGGGATTGAGAATCGATTCTCATATTTGACTGACTAGATACATTCTACCAAATATTTGTTCATTTAAATTATTAATTAGTTTATAGTGGTTTTGTATGATCTCAATTAAAGCGTCTTTCAATCAAATTCTATTCCAGAATTTCTACTCGATTCTTAGTTCCAAATATTTATATTGTCTTCCAGGGATCGTTTAAAACGTTTTTCTTTCAAGCTACTCACTATTTCCTATTATCTTGTTAATTGACTTTATCATGTTTCACGTTATTTGGTTCATTCTTTGATTCCACAACTCCATCTGCTGTCTTCTCGTACGGGAAGAAAATTTTTACTGCCTTTCTGACAATTTCAGCATACAATGGCATCGGAAGGATTACAATGAATCCAAAGAAGTAAAGTTTCTTGTAAATCGCCCACCATTTGTAGAAACTAAGGAATACGAATGGTATGAGACAATATCCGGCAATAACGAATGTGTAGAGCTTCAAGATTAACCAAATGATGACTTGCACGTAGAATTTTTTGCTGAATTCTACAAATTTTGGATTCTTCTTAAACATTGGCTCAATCTAGATTAAAATGTACCAAAGAGAACATGAAGATTAATGTAAATATGTTCGTGAATTGGATAAAAGTCGTTCGTGAATTATGGCATAAAAATGATATTTTAACGGGTTTTTTATTTTTGAATTTTTAACGATTTCAAAATTTTGAACTTTGAAGTTCAATTTTTCGAATTCTCAAAAACCGTTAAAATTTGAATGTTAAACGACTGTTGAAACAATAAAATTAGAAATTGTAAATTTTAACGTCACATAATATTCGAACGACCTGAAGAGGGTGCAGTTTTAAAAACTGGAAGCACGGCGATTCGTTTAAACAAGAATCTATTGCACTATACCCTTCAAATCTACAGCTTTTTAGTGGATTCTGTTTCACTTGTAGCTGTAGACATAACCAGAGACTAAAATAATTGAGAAATCAATGAGTAAAAGAACCCAAGGTATAATTCAAATTTTCTCGAATCATTTTAGTAACTGAACACTAAACACATGGACTTTTAGATAAAGACAAACTACCTCCTTTTCGAAATGAATTATAATAAATTCCAAGAAGAAGGTAATATAATATCCATCATGAAATCCATGCCACACTGCTAAAAACATCAATGCTGAAATGTGACTTATGCTCCTATTGTTCAAGAATTTCAGCCGTTTGTAGACGTAATTAAGAACCCATTTGTTTGTTTGCACGTTGAATGAGTTGACATAGTCACCAAATTTATAAGTATTTTCGAAAACGCTTAGCTTTATGTTTGAACAGCCGCTCCAATCTTCGACACCTGTTTTCTCATCTTTCGATACAAACGCTAAGCCTGTCGATAAAAGTAAATAAACAAAAGAAAATGTCAATGTCTCTTTAAACGAAAGTAAATAATGCGATAAGATATATCGGTCAATGCAGCTAGGGCAAATTGTGTCTAGACACGAGATGTACAGCATAACTCAAATCCATATGCGCAATCCTTAAAATCTAAGTGTTAATATTTTTTAAATCTAAAGATTAATTTTCAAATCCAAGGATTAAACTTTTTAATCCGACTAGCAATAAGTCAGTCTAATCTACACAAAACAAGCAAGTACGTCAATGAATAATCTGCTTACCCGCACAAATTGCAGCACCTTCACTGAGAATCCAGCATGAAATATATTTGTACAAACTGGCTCGTCCCCAAAGTCCAACCAAAAGAAGTTTATAGATAAGATTCTTGTTATCAAATTCACTTGTCATGAAGAAGTTATCTGGCACTATGAACATAAATAGTAATTGATAAATGCTCAGATAAAGCACTCCAGTTAAGAATCGTGTAAGTCCAAAACTAAAGTGCTGAAGACCGATGTCATATTTATGGTCCACAAATTCAAGATATCGTTTAAATGAGAACTGAGGTCCAATGATGACTGTTGGTGGAAAATAGGCGAATCCAAAAACTTCAACTAATGATGGAATTTTATATGGTCTTGAATCAGTTATTCCGAGCACTTCTGGCTTCTTTATACTATCCGAAACATCAAAAGTAAGTCCAATTAGATGCAGTACCATAACACAGTGGCACATCGTCCAGCAAATATCATAGTTCTCTGTTGACGTTTTATAATAGCCTGTATATGTGGAAAAGGAGAAGAAAAAAAATTCCATGACATAATTTCAATGACATGTGCTGTACATGTCTCGTACGATGAGAGTATACATACCTATTAATAAATACGAAATGTGGAATATGAACGATACCGGCACAAGATATTTTGATTTGTATAAGAGATTAATGATAATGTAGGTAAAAGTGACGCTGAGCAGTGAGTGATATACTTCATATCCATAATTAAAAATACAAATCAATATGCCGCACACGGTAAATATCAAATTAGTTTCATTCCTTGTTATGTTGCTATTTTTATGTAGAAACAGCCGATAAAATATGACGATAGGATAAGCTGCGACAAAAAAAAAATAAAGGAACAGAGAAAGAGAAGGAAAAAAAAAGAAAAAGTCAATAATGAGGAAAATGAATAACGTGAGAAATGTGGAAAAATCGATAGACTGAAAAAGTTGTAAGACTTCCCACAAACTGATTTAACATACCGATTAAGACAGATATTAAAAGTCTTAAAGCTGATTCACTTGTCCCGACTGCATCTGCTAAGGACGATAGCATTTTGAGATAATTCCTAGAGACTCCGTAATTTTCACTTTTTCACACAATTCCTCAAAACTTTTTTTTTTTTCTTTTGGCGTTAAATTCACTTTTAAGGATGATTAATGCTTGTAGCTTAATATTATTGCTTATTTAAAATCATTAATTTCCTCATTAAACTTTCACTTTTCATCTAATTTCATCGAATTTGATGTTTAATTCTCTTTTTTTTTCACTCTTACTTTCTGTGCCTTTATGCCTGTACTTGTTTATGCAATCACGCTCATTCATACGAATTTTTCAACATAAACTGAATGAGCGATAGAAAAAAATCAAAGAAGCATAACTCTCTACAGTCACGAAGGGCATATCACAGTTTATTGGAGACTTTTTTATGCCTTAACTTATTTATTGCTTGCTGCTGACACTGATTTGATCACTTTGGGATGTTTACTGGATCTCAGAATTTTGTCAAAGCATTGGATGTCTAATTTTCATAAATTTAGAGTTATTTTAATTACTTTAATTACTATAAGTAGAAAATGTGCTTACCTTAATGCTTATTCCATTTTCCAGCATCTAATCACTTTATTTCCTGATTTAATTACCTTTTTAAAGAATCACCAATTTTTTGAACCTCATTAATGTTTGTAAACAAAGAGGAAGTAACAAGTTCAAAAATAAGAAGCGCTTTATCCACAAACACTTGTCAAGAATTTCTTTACTTGCACAAAGAAAACACGTTTTATCCACAAAATTTAATTAAAATTGAAAATGACATCAAAAAAGGTCAAAAAGGCATCTGATAATGACAACATGCAGGAATCTGATGTCAGCAGCAGTGATGAATCGGATTCAGATTTGGAATTAGCTGAAAATCATGAGGTAAATGTAAAATTACAAAAAATAATAATGCTGAACCGGCCTAAACAATGAAAAATTTCGTGATTATAGGAAATAATGATCGATTTTGAGGGACGTAATCCATCCGATGGCGATTTTAATGGAATTAAGCAGCTCTTGCACCAATTATTCCTATCAGCACCAATCAGTTTAACGGAAATGACTAATACCATAATTTCACAAGATTACATTGGATCTGTAATTAAACAGACATGGGATGAAAACATGCCAGAAGAAGAAGAGGATGAAACGGATGAAGATCCAGCATTTGGTGTTACTACATGCATTAATCTCACATCTCGTAAAGACACAAAATTCGTGCAGGAGATAAAACAGCTATTAATAAGCAAAGCTGAGAAGCATGCGACAGACAGTGTCCTAAAACTAGTTAAAAACATACTCACAAATGACTCTATTAATACTGGATTAGTGCTTAATGAACGATATGTGAATATTCCAGCACAAATATCAGTTCCAATGCTTGAGAATCTTTGTAAAGAGATGAAGCGAGCTGTTGAGAAGAATAAGCCATATAATTTTGGATATCTTGTGATGCCACTCAAGTTTTATCGAAATGCTGGACCACAAGTTGAGGATCTATATTCAAATCCAGAAGAAGAGCACTTCCTTAAAGAGACTTTGGGCAGTTTTGAGTTTTCTGTTGAGGAAGATACAGGTGTTGGTGGTAAAACGACACAATTTAGAAAGATTTTGATTATTGATGGCAAAAAGTTCCCTGAAATTGTGTCCTCGTTGAGTGACTATATTTCTGGAACTATATAAATTACATAAAACTTGATGTAAGATGCTTGAAATAACCTGTTAACGAAATAAAGCTTTCAAATTATTTTCTTTAAAAATTAAACCGTCTTCTGAGATTTGAATCATCAAAAATTTTCGGTTGTTCAATTTAAATTTTTCTTTTCAACGGTTTTTCTGAGGAAGCATCTTTGATAATCGATTAAATTGTATTTTAATTAAGAAATAAGTAAGTACAGAACATATAAAACATTCAGAAAACATCCAATTGTTCTCTACTGCAAATTGTTATTGTTATTTTGTAGAGTTTATATAGCGAGATAAGCAAAAAGTTACTTGTGATATAAAAATCATTTAATTTCATCATTTGACTCTCATTCTGCCGAAATCTTGCTTGGAACAATGAGCTCAAAGTAAGTACAAGCCATAATATATAAAGTTTAAGTGATCATAATCGATTTAAGTAGTAAAGTTGTGAAATATGTAGATCCAGTGAACAAAGAAATATTAAAATAAGCTTAGTCATAATGCAGCTAAAGCTATCGTGCAGTATAGTATCTAAAAAGTATATAGGCATGAATTAATTCCACTCTGCAGTAATCGATTATAATATGACAATCAATCACTTTGTCGCAATTCCAACATAATTGCTGATAAGATTTGTTTGCTTTATCATTTTAGTTTTTTGCCGTGCCAGATAAAGGCTGTTGACTACTCTGCCAACATCTCGACATCCAATGTTGATAGCTATGTTGTAGTTCATGATGATGGCATGCCTAGTGATTTATTAAGCTATGTATCTGAAGCGAAAAAAATTGATAAGGGTTTTGAATCTGAAGTATCATGTTTTAAGCATGATAATAAATTGGCTATCTATTCTCCACTGGATTTAAATGACTATTCTGACGTTCGCGAGTATTTTAAGGCTGCAAAGAAGGGCGTTGCTCGTGCTATCAAAGCTGGAAGCTTAAATCCAATGCTAATTCTTCCGTCAAGACCAAAATATAAGCATGCTGAACTTAATACAGTACTTGGTGCTTTATCTGCATTATATGTACCTATTCAATACCGTGAAGATGTTCCTGAAAAGGCTGAGAGAATTAAATGTCTTAATATTTCATGGAGCCAAAAAGATCAACTTAAGGACTTAATCGAGAAAGCTAAATCGCTCGAATCTGGTCTATACATTGCTAGAGACATTGGTGGTGGTGATCCCGAACGGATGAGTCCCCCAAATGTTGCTTCTTATGTTGAAAAAGCATTTACTAGTGGAATAATCAGCATCAAAGTCCTTTCCGATCAAGACGAATTCGTCAAAGACTATCCATTATTTGCAGCAGTCAATCGAGCTGCAAGATCTGTTCCAAGACATCAAGGACGTATTATTTGGATGGAATATAAACCACCAAAACCATCAAGAAAGACATTAATGCTTGTCGGCAAAGGAGTTACTTATGACACCGGTGGTGCTGACATTAAGGCTGGCGGTAATTAAAAACATAAATTTTTGAATGACACTTTAGCTAATTTAATTAATATCATATAGGAATCATGGCTGGAATGTCACGTGATAAGTGCGGTGCCGCAGCAATTGCTGGATTTATGAAAACTGTTGAATTAAAGAAACCAGAAGACGTACATGTTATCGCTGCACTTTGCATGGTAAGGAATAGTGTTGGTGAAGAATGCTATGTTGCTGATGAAGTCATTACATCTAGAGCTGGAACGAGAATTCGCATTGGAAATACAGATGCCGAAGGTAGAATGGCAATGGCTGATTCATTGTGTGTTATGAAGGAACGAGCTGTGAAGGAAAACTTGCCAAATTGCTACTTGTATACAATTGCAACTTTGACCGGGCATGCATGTGTAGCCCTTGGTGATTATACAGCTGTAATTGATAATAAAGTCGCCGAGAATGCTGGTCATGGAAATAGTTTCTGCAAAGCTGGTGATTTGATTGGAGATCCTTCGGAAATTTCAACAGTTCGTAAGGAAGACTTTGAATTTATTCGTTCTAAAGGGTATGGAGAAGATGTCCTTCAATGTAATAATGCACCAAGTTCTCGAACGCCTCGTGGACATCAAATTCCAGCTGCATTCTTAATTGTTGCTTCCGGTTTAGATAAGCACGATGCAAGTTCATCAATTCCTTTAAAATACACTCATTTGGATGTAGCTGGAAGTGCTGGAGAGGTTCCAGATCCACCAACTGGAGCTTCCTTATTGTCTTTGAGTCAATTACATTTATTTTAAAAAGTTTTATGCTTTCATCTACAACAATGAGCGAGTTCATATGAGGCTAAAAGTCTTATTGTAAACAGCAAAGACATTTGAAACTTTTGTACTTAAATTTTTTTTTTTTTTGTTGTACGTATTAACAATGAAACATTTCCGTCATTCAATAAAATTGGAATCAACTTGATGGAAACATAAAATAATATGTTGGAAATAATCTCTTTCTCTCGACGTTTTTCGATATAGTAAAAAAAATATTCTTTTAATGTCATGAGAAAAGAAAGAAATGTTACCTTTCTCCAAAATTCACCGTTAAGTTAAACTTTTTAACTCTTTTTTGGCTGATTTTTAAAGAGAAATGAGAAATTTCTTTCGTTAATAAAAAGCTGCGAATTTACATCATTAAAAATTAAGATTATTGAATGAATGGAAAGCTCTAATCTTCCTGCTTTTATATGTTTTGTAATCGAATATCGTTTCGGGCTAAATGTTTCGCATTAAAATTTTTAATGGAAGACTTATTGTTCGGAGAAATTAAAGTTTGATTCGTTAGTGGATTTTAAAGAGTCTGCTAAATGATCATAATCCTGTAATATGAAAATGAGATGAAAATAAGCTTTTAATCTGCGAATAACAATTTTAAAGCTATCTATATTGCTATAGTGCTTATGATATCGAATTTGAGCTCGTTTGTATTTGGTTTTTTGCAATATAGGTGGTCTAACAAGAGTCTGCTACGTTAGCTAGTGTTTCAGCTCCTAGTTCAGTCAAATCACAAAAGTAGACTGTAGAATAAAAATTTACTTTAATAAACTAGTCAATGTTTGTAAGACATTAAAAGTACGTCAACTCTTGGCAACTTATCCAAATTTCATTAGTAGATGCCTATAAAGATCTTTTCAATATAGTCTAAGGATGTACTAGGATACGAGTTTGACTTGTTGAATGATATTTTATCAGTCAAGAAAATGAATGAAATGATCTAAGTTAGCTTTGAGAATTGATTGAAATAAGTCAGATCATTGTGGAAAATTTGTTGAATTTGTAAGTTGATTTTTATTTTCTTTTCTTTTATTTTCATTTTATTGGGATTTCAATCACGGGGTCCTGACCGATTTTGCAATACCGGGATTACGAGATCAAGAAGTCCTTAGAATTTCTTACAAATCTTATTAATTTTAAAGTGTAAAATAATAATCAGCAAGTTTTTACCAAATAATATAGGAATTCTTTATAGCTTAGTTTTCTTTTTTAAATTTTTTTAAAGTGTTAAAAAGAGTGTAATCATGCCCATTGTAATTACCAAAAACTTGAAAAATTTTGACTTTTAAATAGTGTTCAAAATCTCACCAAAATTTTCATGAGCAAAATTTTTTTGAAAATCTCACGAGCAAAATTTTGCTCATGAGATTTCTCAGCTCGTGAGCCGAATTTTGCTCACGAAATTGCTCACATGAGCAAATTGTGACGTCACTTTCCAATAAATTTCTTTCATAAAAATTGTATTAAATTTCTTGTTATGGGATGGTTCTTCAGAATGAATGAAACTTTTGCTAGTGACTTTTCATGACTTTGCTGGATAATTTTGAGTATGAATGGCCTTCTTGTTCCTGAATCTTGACTTGTTGCTTGGAATTTACCTTAATTTTGCTTTTCGCAATTTCGTGAGCAAAATTCGGCTCACGAGTAAAATTTTCGTGAGCCGCTCACGAAAAATTTGCTCGTGAGATTTTAAAAAAAATTTGCCTATAAAAAATTTTGCTCGTGAAAAATTTGGTGAGATTTTGAACACTACCATGCAAATTCGATGAAAATCTTGAGTCGACTTCGAGCTCTGGATTTTATGATCATTCGAATGCATCTCCAGCAAAACAGCATAAAATTATTGATTTTTTATAAAACAAAAATTTTAAAAGTTTTTATAAAAGAAAAATCATAAATGGTTGACAAAAAAAATCAAATTTTTCCGTAAAATTTTAAATCATTTTTGATATGAAAAGCTGAAAGATAATCTTCATAAAAATAAACAAAAGCTTTCATTGTGAAGTTAAAAAGTTCAGACATGACAAGAAAAGGAAATAATGATATATTTGGAAAAATTTTAATTAATTTGTAATTGGGCAATTCTCCTGGTAAGTTTTTCAAAAAATCATCCGGAGAATCAAATTTTCTCGAAAATTTTCCATCACCAAGCATAACTTTTACATTTAAATCGATGTAAAATGGCAATAAATGATTATATTTTATCTATTTAAGTATTTGAAAATAGCCAATAATAAAGTTTTTTCAATTTTTTTGCAAATTACTGTCAGCAAAAAATGGAATAATCATAAGGAGAATCGAAAATTGAAGAAAAGTAAACCCTCATTTTTTATTATGATTATGCAGAAATGTAGTTTTTGAGCTAATCTATCTAACCATAATCATATCACACTCCAATAATTACTATTTTAAGAGAATTTTTGATTCTTCGGTGGATTTTTTTGCTGATAGTAAAAAAATTAAGCTTTTATTTTGCAAATCCATAAAAAAATGCAAATCAAATATTTCATAAAAATTAAATTTTAGTCTTAATTTAACACTTCATGGTTGAATTATTGTTGATTCAGTAAGAATCAATCGTAATAAACAGTTTAAAGTTGCTTTAAGCAATCAAAACAAAGAAATTGACAAGATATTTACAAAAAAAAAAATTGATAGTAAACAGTAAATGATTTTGGATTATAAAAGCTCTTTTTTCAAAAACTCAACTCATCTGGAGAATTGCCCATTTTGAAAGCACTTATTTTGAACGTGTTAAGGGCAATTCTTTGGATGAGTAGAATTTGAAAAAAACGAGCTTTCATAATCCAATGTCAATGAGTTTTGTGTCAATAAAATGTTTTCTTTATCTTTAATCTCATATTACTACGAAGGAATAATAAGCCTGAATTTTCGTAGATCATTAAGCATAATTAAATCTTTACAAATGATCTATTGAAATGTTACAACTCACCCAAATTAAGTGAAAAATCGAAAAAATATGTTTGAAAATTTTGTATTTTTTCACGGATTAAGACAAAAAAAAAGCTTTTTTATAACTCGATGACACAAGGAAATTTTTCAAAGAATTGAAATATTTCAATAGGGCAATTCTCTGTAGGGGAAATCAAATTTTCAACTTAAAATTGATTTTTTGACCGATTTTTCTACTAAAAGATGTTAGGTTTTCAGGACTTCTGAGGTATTTTTCCACTATCTATCTGTTGACTTATTGTAACAACCATTAATTAGCTTAATTCTAGAGATATTTTGATTCTTCGATAAAATGCTCCGTGACCGAAAATGGAATTTTACAAAAAATTCAATAGGGGAATCAATATTTATCCATTAAATTCTTATGTTTGCATCATGAAATGCATATCAAATGGTAGGGTATTATCAGTTCTATAATACTTATGCTTAAAATCTAAGAAAAGCAGCTTCATTAAAGAGAAAAATCGATTCTCCGAACGTCAACTTTATGTCACGGAGCATCTTTAAGCTTTTATTTTACCGATCCGTAAAAAAATTACCAGAAAAACGAATCAAAAAAATTAAAATACTACTCTTATCTTTGATTATTTTGTAAATCTATTAATAAAACTTAATAGAGTAGTTATTTTTGATGATTTGAGACTGTTTTGATATTTAAACTCAAATGTATTTAAAAGATATTAACCAAAAGATTTTTAACAACCAAACACAAATAACCTTGGATTAAAAAAGCTTATTTTTCAAAATTCCACCGCTCTGGAGAATCACCCAATAATTAATGACTTAAAGCACATGGAAAAGCAACCTATTTAAAAATTTTTGCCTGTTCTATAACTTAGTAAAAGTTATTCAATGTGTATATCAATAGTTTTCTCTAATTTTCGATTCTTCTGATGATGAAAATTGAAAATTCCGATTTCTGTCATCGAGTTATTGTCTGAAGAATCCAAATAACTTAATTAATATAGCGATTAGAAGTATATGATATCAAAAGTAGTGTTCATTTTAGATTTTTACATCGATAAGAATTATAAAATCAGTGTCTCTGATGGGAAAAATCAATAAAATTTCGATTATTTGCTGAAAATTTTCCAAAAGTCATCCAAAGAATTGCCCTTAAACGTAATTTTATACCAGTTTCTGAATCAAATCTAATCCTGGGTTTGAACTCGGGATCAACAATTGACAATACTCTAATCCCGGGAAACATCTTTACTGAAACATCAAATCTTCATTTTGATACTTTAATTAGAATTAAAACCAGTATGGTATTGAGAAGTTTAATCGAAAATCATCAAAATAAGATAAAAATGCAATCCTATCATTGCGCTATCAAAATAACTCTGTTTTGTGGTTTAATGTCGAACATACGTTCCATTTTTATGTATATCTTTAAACAACGCGAATTATCGTTGACAGGCTATTTAAATGGAATCTTCTTCTTCAATTCTATAAATTCCAACATCAAGAATTCCTCCTCAAAAAATATTCTTAAGCAAGAGACGACAAATAGTTAAAACATACGCGATTGCTTAAAAATCTGAAGTTCATTAAACCCAAAAATCTTTACGTTGAAGCTAAGCATTAACCATTGAAATCCAAGCAGAAGATAGTTATTACAGAGAGCGAGATAGATCTAGAGAAATCACAAATCATATAGTTCCATTACATTTCAAAAACTATCGAATTTTCCGATAATAACAGTTTGTGAAAAATCTCATTACAATAGTCATAGCGAAACAGCAGTTAAAGCTACTGAAAATATAAAACACCAAAATCATGCATAAATAATGGCCAAAAGAACCGTGTGAATATATTATAGGTACTCATAAAAGCTTTTATTAACAATTTTTGTTTCATTAATGAAAAAGATAAGAGAATAGCTGAAGAAAGCACTAAATTTTATGATTCGATCTTTTCATTTTAGTATGTAGTAACGAGCGGTTTATCTTTCACCTACGAAAGATTTGTATACGAAAAAAAAAGATCTTTTAATTATCTTCGGGAAAAACTTGTATTCAATGTCCAAAAATAATAATTATGAAGAGTTCAAGAATCATTCTTTATTAACCTAAATTCCTTTCATCGTTAGTCAAGAGAAAATGAGATGACGGAGGGGATTTAATAAAATAATAAATAAAAAGTCATTAATAATTACAATGAATTTGAAGAAAATGGTTATAAAGAGTAGAATTGAATAATATGAAAGAGCTTTTCGCTGTCAGAAGACGTATGAAGAAAGAATCTCAGATGTAATTTATTTTGTTAAATCATGAAGGCAGGTCTTGGTATGATTATATAATAATATTTATCCCGTCTTATTAAACAGTGAAAAGTAGGCCACAGTGCAAAGCCGCATTAGCTAAACCGTTATACA